TTCATTACGATACATGCTCCCACTTATGACAGGAAAGGCTGTCATCAAGCTGGGATAGCGCTGCTTTGTTGCGTTTGTAAGAGTTGATCCGTGGCGACGAAAGCACAAAACGTGCCCCATGGAAATACGTGGCAGGGGTGGGGCATTCGCAGCCAGGGGTATAGTATAACGAAACCAACGTCTCGAATCACTCATTATTTCGCTCACAGAAATATTTTTGCTAACGTAATTCTGAATCATTTCTGGCAGTAGGATGTATGCAGTGAGCACTCACTGACTGGTCAGGGTTAGCTGAGTTTATTGGGTACATTGATAGGTTGATTAGCAAATCGATGTTAAATTTGTAGACGCTGAGTAAGGACGGCGTAATGACTTTGCTTTTCCCACTAGCCATCACATTAGCCATATTTTTAGTTTATAGATTGTTAATTACTGAAGTACGGTAATTGGTAATTCGAATGATGTTTTTAGAATTTATTAAAAGTTTGCCACTGAATGACGAACGCATTTTTATTCTACGGTAACATAATTTTTACCATTCAGCGCTACTGACTACTCGTCGTCAAAAATTGCAGCGTCTGATGGCTCCGGACCCATTGATTTTCCTTTCAATAAGGAAGGCTATCGGTATTTTCTTGTGGAAAAGGATCCCAACGTTAATGATAGGTTGGTTTTTAACTTCCTTCATATGTGGAAGAGGCCCTAAAATCAGCATCTTCCGTTCTTTCAGAATAAATTTGGAGGAAGACGATGGATCAGTCCCAAGGATAATTCCACCTCATTTGTACAGACTTCATTTTCAACGAACGGTTACAATTTCACCAAATGATCGAGCCCATGAGGTAAACTAACTTTTTGTTCCTCTATACATAGATTCGCTTAAATTTTTGTTTTAGTTGAGGGTATCAGACGACCAATTGACTGTGACTGGTTTTGAAGGCTATCGAGTGGCTCGCGCTACTCATTCAGTGGCTAAGGGTACATGGTACTTTGAAGTTAATTTCCTCAAACAGCCGGAAGACTCACATGTGAGAATTGGGTGGAGCCAGCCTCTAGGTGAATTTTAGATTGAAATTGAGAGCTTTCATAATATCCCTTTCTTTTAACCATGAATAATATTTCAGCGGTCGTTCAGTCGTGTATCGGGTACAACAAGTTGTCATATAGTTGGCGTTCCTTGAAGGGAACTAAATTTCATGATGCGATTGGGAAGAAGTATTTTCCTGGTGGATACAAGGTACATTAATTTTTTGCTTTTTCTCTATTCCATAAAGTTAATTAACGTAACATGATGGTGAACTTAGTTGAACTAAATTTATCAAAATTAAAGCTTGAAATGAAACATAAGGTGGCAAAGTTTTAGGAGGGTGACATTCTTGGCTGCCTCATACATCTTCCACATGATCCTATTCATCCGGGACCTTCCAGTCAATACTTACCAGCGTCTAATAAGGTACAGTTTTACTTGTGTTACATGAATTAGTGCCTTAATAGAACATTTACAGGACCTTCCACTCATCAATTTCAAACACAACTACTTCTATGAAAGTCATGATGAAGTGGCTGACGTTGTGAAAGCATTGGAACCGTTGAAAGAGAGCAAAGTAAGTACGATAAGTCCGAAGCACTCACTGAAAGTGCCGAGCAACTTTCAGTACTCTTCTTGCATATGTTGTTTATTCTCCAAAAAATTTTAATGTTATTAAAAGTGAAATTTTTCCCATATGTGATGAGATCCCTTTCGCTCTGGATGTAAATTCATTAAGGCTAACGAAGGGGTTTTACTCATACACTTACCAACAATGCTTTTGGAAAACCTCTAATATGATATAAGTTTCTGAACGGTCGTGGTCTTTAAGCGTAATGTCAAGGAAGCGATACGCTATAGAAATTTTCGCATCGGAGGAGAACTGCGCCACACGGAGCAATTACTTGGCTGCCAAGGAAGGATGCGTGGCGCTTCCACGGCGAAAGGTGCTGTGGTTGCTGAGCAGGACCTCCGCAGCACTCCGCCTCAGCAGCGTTACGCCCACTTGTTCAGATGATGACGTGGGCGAGCTGTTTGCTGTTGGCTTTTCATTTTGGGAGGATCGTTTCCCTTTTATCGGCTGTATTTTCCAACTTGCCAATGTAGAGCCTTATCAATCAAAACACTATGCTTGTTGGCATGATGGCGGCTATCGGGGTTAACACGTCCGAACAACGTCACCGTCCGCGTCATTCTTACGGCGCTCATCCGGTGGTCGAATGAAAGGAGTGCTATTTTGCCAATTTTTGACGGAATTCTTTGCTTTTTTCGCCATTGGCGTACTGTTGAGACCATCAAGTCCCCCCTTTTAACCCTTTTGGGATCTATCATAATCGCTGCCTTTAGCGGTTTGTATACTGACTCCAAGATTAATTTCGGTTACTTCGGCTCCGCTGTGGCTAAGGAGCCAGTGCTTGTAACTGACTACTCTTGATGTCCAAGACGTTCATAAAGATCGCTTTCAGATTGAATTTTTCAAAAACGGAAAGTCGTGTGGTGTAGCATTCACTGATATATACAGAGGATTCTACCATCCTGCAATATCAATATTCAGAAGTAGGTTTTTATAAACTGATTTGGTTCATACTAGCTGAAACTGAGGTAAGTGTTGAATTTGAACATATTACATAGCACTTCTGGGTTATAGTTAAGAATATATAATGGCTACATTCTTTAGATGCCACAGTGAGGTGTAATTTCGGGCCGAGGCTTCATCACCTCCCGCAAGGTGCACTACCTATGAGTGCCAGAGTAGAACAGCTTATTTAAGTCATAAACCCTAAAGTGAATATTATATTCTTGTTTCCAAACGCATAGTGTAATTATTGACTATGATCTCTCCTTCTCAAGATGTTTATGCCTCTTGTAGTTTTTGTTGTACATATGTAGATTGATAATTTATCAGCCTTGTGTGTCGTTTAGCAAATAAAATTTCTCTTCACTGAACCATTCTGATGACAGTGTCTTTTTTCATGAATATTGAGTAATTTCGGTAAACGTTTAGCATAAATTCTTGCTTCATTAGCGTTAGTTTAGTGCATGCAATCTGCTGTGCGTGGTCTAACAAGGAAAATGATTAAAGTGATCCCTATAAGAGCGTTGGATGATAACTATATGTACTTGGTCTACAGTGAAAAGGATTCAAAAGGCTTCGCCGTAGATCCGGTTGAGCCGCAAAAGGTCAAGGCGGTTGCGGAAAACTGTAAGGTAAACAATTAGTCTCTTTTATGCTATTGATAGTTTTGGCAAGGATACACTAGTGATTATACACGAAAAAAAAACTCATATCCAACTCGAGATAAGTTGAATAGCGTGTGTAAGTTGTTTACCTGGTCCATATACTTCATTTACTTAGATGCTTTGATGGTACTTTGGCTGGAGGTCTTCTCAACATCGACCTCAGCTCTAGCGTAGCGTCGATTTCTTGTGACTTGCATAGAATGTAGGCCGCGTTCTCTGAAATACATAGAAAAGGGGTTGGCACCGGGTCGGCGGTCGTCCTAGCGGCCTTGGCTGTTCCTTGTCAGCCACCCTGTGGCTCGGACTCTGTCATCACTACGGCGAACCCTTCCAACAATGCTTTGTTCATGTAAGTGTGTAAATTCCAAGCATGTCTTTCGATAACATTTTGTGAGCCATTCATATGTACTCCTTTTAAGACGAACACAAGCAGAATTCGATAAACTGCTTAAAAATTTTGAATTTTGAATTGACGTAGAACTTGGCACTATACGACTATTACAACCACAGTGGGATGGGGAACATTCACTGAACTTTCATCTGTTCGGACGTTTATTGGTGTTGATCTTTGTGGATATGACATTCGCTTCTGGTCATGTCTCCAACAGGCGTAATTTGGCTTGGAATTGGACTTGAGTTTACGTCAAAAATAGAAGTCAGTGTATTTGCCACCAGGACAGTCACTTTCCTCTCGTAATTGAAGCTTCACAGGAAAAAATTCTCCCTCGCCCTTCGAATGTCAAGTGAAGAATAAATGTTTGGTAGAGAAATCAGTTGAAATGTGAGGGCCATGGTAATTAAAAGTATGTCGGCACGTAAGATTGTGAGAATCTGATCCCGAATCATGAGAGAAAAGCATTCTGCAGAAAATCGCTCATTACGAACCATAAGGACATGCTTCAGTGTTTGTTCACAACCGTTCAGTGAGTGTCACAGAGGTACGCCATGCGCTAGCTACTCCTGCGCGCTTCTAATACTTACAATAACC